ATTTTTAGGTGTTTTTCATAGTGATAGTATCATCATGGGAAATCTTATCCAGATCAACTGTGCCTGTCACTGGGTACAGTCCTCCTTTGACAAACATATGGCAGCTCAATCTAGTCATGATAGATCAGTATCCCTGGAGTTAGGCAGAAGAAAATGAGTCATGCCCAAGTTGCGTAGGACCAGTCAGCCAGAATCTGGTAGGAGGTCCTCAGAAAAGCAGAGCTGTCTTCAGAAAGCTTATAGCTGAAAGGGCAACACAAAAACCTGCTGAGGGAGGGATGACACAGAGTCCAAATGTTTCAGGGAGAGAGGGGTTTTAAGAAAGGGTCCACTACAGATTACTACTGTAAAATGAGAACAAAATACCAGCTAAATAATCTGACTAAATCACAACAGTAAGACCGAATCTTCAGAAGAGGTGAAGCTGATGGTCAAGGAAAAAAGCTCACAGGACACCAGAAGATGCAAAATGCACTAGCAGAAGCACAGAAGAGTTACAGTCAAAACACTGGAAGGCTGGAAGGCAAAAATACTCAACTATGGGCAAAGGAAGTTACAAGTGCTTGATATCTTAACTCTGCATGGGAGTCCAATGCCACTCAGTTACTTAAAGGCCAAGAATTTTCCTGGTTAATTGTTTTTTCATATTTGCTTCAAAATCCTCTGCAAATCCAGTCATCCACAGCTTTTTTAGCTATATGCCATAGTTACAACAAGTCAATTGCAGACTGAGCTATCCAAACACAGATCTCTCCTGAATTTCTCTTATTCTTTATCACTAAAAATAAAGAATATGATAAGAAACTAAAAACTTAATTAAACTGAGAAACTAATTGGATTTCCAAGACAGATGACTGCATTGAGATGCTATCAAAAAGTAAAGGACAGCTTGAAGTCATCATCCTTTAGAGGAGAGAGGACTTGAAATTTCTGTCCTCTCAACAGAAATGGTAAGACCAGATCATGATAAGTTTAACTAGAGACAAACAAATAGAAGTAATGGAATTAAAAATATCCCAAACCTGTAATGTTGAGTTTTCATCACTAGCAAAATCTACTAGCCGTAAAAAGCAGTTTACTAAGGAAGCAGCAGAAATCTCACAGCTCACAAACTTTTAAGACCAGTGCATGCCAAAATAATCATGCAAAAGCATTGTGCTATGAGACCAAATTCATCATCCTCTTTATATTAGTCCACCACACATGAAGTCTAACACACAACCACCAAATTCCAAATGCATTATTCAAGCCTCAAAAGGTCACTGCCACAGTTTCACAGGCACCTTAGTGATACAATTCTACGGGCAGCTCTGTTCAGACCATCACTTGATGCCATCACAGGGAGCAGACCATCCTTGTTCACCCCTGTTGACCCCTACCCACACGGTCCTCCCTCTTCTTTGCACTGGTGCTAGTGCTTAAAGCAAGTCAGGATAAGAAATTCATAATTTTTCCAGTTGCCTGTGGTTTTTTTCACATCCAAGCAAGTTAAAGCAACAGACAGTGCTCATCGGCACTAGGGGCAACCCAGGTACAAAGCAGAAAGGGAGCATGAACTCCTTCCCTCCTCGTGGGTTTCAAGTAGTGGGATGAGCACGCCTACTCCTACTAGCTCTCCTGTGCTAACAATATTGCTTGCATGGCCAGCTGGGGTCAACTCCAGAGAAAAAAGCCACACTTCAACAGTCACCCACATGAGAATGGCTCAAGCCAATTGTAACACTGCATCTAAAAACCCGTTTTCCAGAAACCTTCACTTCTCAAATGCCAAACTCTGATTAATTTGAAGAGCTCGGAGTGTTAAGATGATGGCTAATTCCAGAATAGAAACTCAATTGAAAGAAAAATCTTTGAATTACTTTAAGGAAAGGTTATGTTATGCAGTGCATTTTTTTTTCAGTAAATACAGTGTAGTGCTGTATTAAAAACTGATCTAGCTCATTATAAGACATAATTTGAGAGAAATTTATTAGCCAAATACAGGTTCAGGTTCTCTGTCTCACCTCAAAGGCAGCAAATTAATCCACAGTCATGGATTAAATTTAAACAAGAAAAGAATCCAGAATTATCCAAAATTATCCAGAATTACAAAGCAACTTAAAAGTCAATGAATAAACAGCATGCAAAAACCCAGTGTCATCTGCAGGCTCAGAACAGAAGGTTCCTTAAAACTTTCTACCAAATTAACTAGGGAACAAGCAGAGCCAGTGTGAGTAGGGAAACAGCCTCATGGTGTTCCATCCAGTGGAGACACAGTTTTGTTGATCCGACTTTCATAACCACAACTAAATACCTTCAAGCACAGTGCCAGATGTTACCTATTTAGCTGTCATTTAAAAATACTGTTAAAAAGGCACGTATACACAGGCAAAACAACAGTAATGATAATCTATATAAACAAATAAATAAATCCTTGAATACCTGAGGAAATACGGCAAAAATAGAATCTTAGGCTCTTCCCTAGTCCTAAAATTCATTTTACATCCCTTTTCTGTCAAGTGTTTAGATTATCTTTGCCAGCTTCTGCTCTAACCCACTAATAACCTCTGATAATGGGAACTTGTTTAAAAATCTAAGTAATTTGACTGTTATAGGTAAAAACTTTCCAGCCTATATTTAATCTAAATCTCGCCCACTAAAATTTACTTCCTCTTAATCTACATCAGAACCACAGAAAAAAAAAAAAAAAAACCTGGAAAAAAAGTTTAAAAAGAAAACTGTGCTTCTGTGAACTATTTCTTGCATGCATACATACCCATCCCACAGTCTTTTCCACCACACCAAAATAATGCGATACTTCAACAAAAAAAAAGAAATTATTCATGGGTTTGGAGCCTCTCAATCCACATTGCTACTTTCCTCTGTACTTTTTGGGTTGTTTAATACTCAAGACTACACACAAAAGTGCAATCAAAAAGAAAAAATAAAAGCCTTCTGTAACTTAAATCGATTTCACATATCCAAGGATAACATCCACTTTTGCCATCCACATGTTGCTCACAGACCAATTTGTGACTAGGAGTCCTGAATTATTTCCTACACCTCTGCTTCCCAAACATCTGTATTTGAGCATCCTACAGCCTCTTCCTAGTGTGGCATTTTGTACATAGCAGCTTTTTAACTTTTGGGTTGTACTTCCCAAACCTGTTAAAATGATTGAATTAAAAGTTTATTCTATTCTTCTCCAGACAAGTGTTGGCATTCCCTCCTAACTCAATGGCACATGTGCAATTTTTAACTTTCAAGAAAATGATAGATAATATAACTAAAATCACCCCCAGAACAAGTCATCTGGTTTTCTCCCAACCTTCAAGAGATCTTCCAGCTTTGCAAAAAGTAATTTAAAGCTATTTAGGGATTAGTTACTTGACATGCAAACTTACAGGATCAACTGAAATACCGTATCGATCAACCAGATGAACATGGAACTACGTTGAAACCTCCTAAAGTTTAAAACTGATTCTAAGATGGCTTTTAACCATATTTATTTTCCAGGCCAAAATGTTATGTAACACAATAAGCCCACTTATAACATGTTAGATTTCTCAAATAATTGTATTTCTTCACTGCTGAGAGGGAGAGGGCATGGCTGACAGGTATCTCAGTATTTTAGTCCATAAAACATAAAAAAAAAAAATTACTTTTTTCCATACAGACACATCAAAATTGATTAAGCACGAAATGTAGAAAGCATCAGCACTATACATAGTAAGAAACATTTAATACCACCTACAACCAGATTAATTACGATTAAAAAAAAAAAAAAACAAGAGAGATCGAGCTGTTCCGATATAGCATTTTCACAGCACCCTTGGGAGGTACAACTGCTGCTTCACAGACTGCGGATGTTCCAACTTCCTTAGTTTATACAGCAAGCCAACAGATTAGACAATTCAGAATTCAGAAGTGTCATGTCCTCAAACAAGACCGCTAGATCACGTAGCCTTGCATCTCCATCTCAGAGTTATTTCGTGAATACTGCTGAAGTTTCATTAGTTATAATTAAAATTCACGTTTTTAAGGTGTTAGGCTGGGAAGAAATCATGCACGTCCCATCCGCTGAAGTTCAGTCATTTTAGCTCAGGGTGTCAATACTACTCCAAACAACATCAGAAGTTTTTTCTGATAAGAAACCACACTACTGTGATTATGAAGGGGTACGGGTTATTCTTTTTCTTCCACCTTCCATGCTCCTCTTTCCAATTACAGAGCTTTTTAAAAAGCACATTATGAGATATGACAAACTCCTGAATGTTTTACAGCACTTCCCTCCATGCAAATCCCATTTTCCTAAGTGAACTGTCTGAAAAACTGTAAAGCTTCCTACCACTCATTACAAGACAGATTCAGAATGCGTCTAAGCAATTCAAAGCCATCAGAGCCTGCTGAAATTAGATTGTTTTAAACGTTTTCAGCCCAACTGCTGGTTTTAACTGCAGGCATTACCATTTGCCCTAAAGTACTTGAGTATGAACATACTCACTTTTCTTAACAGAATTAAGTGAAGGCTGGAATGCTTTCCACACTTTCCTGGAGAACTGAACGCCCCTGAGGGCAGGGATGGACATCCCTGCCTGTGCAGCGCGGGGCTGCGCTCCGATACCGCGGGACCCGCGAGGTGCCGGGGCGGGTCCCGCCGCGCCGGCCCCGGGCCCCGCAGCCGCGCTCGGCGCTCACACACAGACCCCGCACGGGCGGCACCGCGGGAGCCAACGCGGAAGCGGAGGCTCCGGCTCCCAACAATATCGCTATTCAACAGGACCCGGCACACATCCTGCGGCGGGCTCCTTCCCGGGAAGGGCCGCGTCGGGCAGTACCGCAGTGCCGCCGCCGCCGCAGCCGGACCCCCCGCAGCCCGGCCCGGCGCCCTCCGCAGAGCCGCACCGCGGCTGCCCCGCGGCGAAAGGGGGCGGCTCGGAGGCGCTCGGGAGCGCCGCGGACACCGCGGGAAAGGCTCCCTCCCCTCGCCGGCAGCCCGGCGGGACCCGCGGGGCCGTTACCTGTCGCCGGCTCCGCCGCAGAGGCGGCGGCACCTCCCCGTCCTCCCCGCCGGCCGCCGCCGCCGGCCGCAGCCTCCAGGTCGCAGCCCGCGCCCGCGGCGGCGCCAGGCAGGAGCAGCCCCGGCAGGAGCAGCGCCAGCAGGAGCAGCCCCGGCAGGAGCAGCCAGGTCGGCACCGGCCGCACGCCGGGCGCTCGGAGCGCGCTCATCGGTGCCGCCCTGCAGCGGAGCGAAGGCAGGAACACGAGCACGGAGGGAAGGAAGGAAGGAGGGAAGGAAGGAAGGGGCAGGAGCTCCGGCTGCGCCGCTGCCGCCCCGGCGGGTCGAACCCGCTCCGCGCCGGCCCCGCCACCACCCGCCGCTTCCGGCGGCCCCCGCGCCGCCGGGCGACACGTCACCGCGCCGTGACGTCACCGGCAGGGGGTGGCGGGCGGAGCGCGGGTCTGGTCCCGGTGCCGGCTCTCGGTGCCGGCTCCCGTCCCGCTCCCGGTCTCGACCCCGATCCCCAGCCCCGGGCACACCGGACCGGCGCGCCCGGAGTGTGGCAAGACGGGGCCGTGCCGGCGGGCGGTGTCCGGCTGCGGGAGAAGCGGCCCCGGCCAGCCCGCCTCGGACCCCGCCGAGGGGCCGCTCTCCCGGGCCGCTGAACCCCTCAGAGCAAACCGGGTGCTTGGCCGAATTCAGGAAAGGCACAACGGCAAAACAAGGCATTTTGGGCTACAGCGCAAAACCGAGACCTTAGACTTTGTTAAAATTGCCCTTTTTACGCCGGCGGTCAGGCACCTGAGAGGAGCGTTCTGAACGGGAAGTACGAAAGGAGTTTCGATGTGTGCTGCAGCACGCTCAAAACAATAACAAAACGAAAAAAAAAAGAGGTGTTTCAAATATGATCCGACAAACTGAAATCAAGAAAACTAAGTCTTCACAGAGATTAAACCCCGATTTCATTGTGATTAAAACCTTGACTAAAAAAAAAGGCTTTTGTTTAAGGTGTTTCCATCAAGTCATTGAATGGGAGTAAAATCTGTTTCTCCTGTTGAAACCTGTGGGATTTTCCACCATTCTGTTTAGAAACATTTAACGAGAATAACATAGCCTTTAAAGATCGAATTCAATCTAATATTTTAGGTGCACAATACATGAGAAAATAATGCAGCACAGATGCCAAAAACTATATAAACATTACATTTCCTATTAACTGTCGCAATTACCTAAGAAATAACAGAAGGGGGTTGAAAGGGTCTTGAGAAAAGCCTTTATGGGCTTCGTAGACCCTAAGCAGACAGGAGCATGAAATGGAGTGGTACAAGATACTTCTGCAGGTCAGCAAAATCTGTGAAGCTAACTGTGAAATCCTATAATAGTATTAAATGCAGCAGGAAACAATTTCTCTAGCAACATAGTTGGCGTGCATACTCCATCCCAGCTGAATCATATTTTTATGGGAAAAAAAAATACCAAAACTTTAAAGTACTCATATATCATATGAAGATTCGGAAAATGTGTCTAAACCTAATGAGTTGTGTTTGAATTGTGAAGTCCGTGCACAGCCTTATTATTTCTGTTGGTTAATACAACAGCCTTTAGAGACCAACAGTATCTGAGCAGATCTTGTGCAAAGGGAACAATGTAAAGCCTGTATCTTAAGAAAGCTTGTTCAGTTTGTTTAACTTTAGGGAGGGGAGCTGGAGCAGAGTAAATTTCCCAGCTGGAAATGAAGAAACCAGCTGTTAATTTAATTAATTAGTTAATTTTAAAATACAAACAGAGAGGTATTCATGAAGGGTACATGAAGAGGCAAGTTTCCTGGAGTGTGAACTGTTTTAGCTGAGAGCCACTGCAGTCAAAGGATATGGACTTCATGAGTCCTATGAAGAAAAGCCATGCATTAGAATAGCTGTGAGGTGGGGGCACTAACGGAGAGCACTTCAGTGAAAATGCCCTGGGCCTGAAATAGAAAATTATCCTTGTTAAAAATCCTCTTTCAATATCAGTTCATTTTCACCTCTTGCTTTCAACTACAACCCAAACAGGGAAGCCTTAAAAGGATTGTTTTCAAGCAATGCCTGTGTTCTGGAGCTGGGGGAAGGTCACCCTAGCAGAAGATCTCACAGGGAGAAGCACATTAACTGGAAACACCTCATGATGCAGTGCCACTTCATATTGTGCAGAATCAGCTGCATGAGCTCAGTATCAAGAAAGGGCTTCAGCCTAACCTGTTAATCCACAGTAACTTAATCAACTTCTGGTTTCAATATGAGGACACAAATTCTGCTGAGTGCCCTATAAGGCTTGATCACAGAATCAGAGAAAAATATATGACCTTTTGAGTTCATCGGATATAACATCCCTACTCAGGCCTGAGGAACACCACTCATAACCACATGGCAGTTTCATTTTGGACTGTTGATGGCTACTTTTCAAGTAGAGTGGTTCAGACCGCTTTCTGCCTTCCTCATCCACTTACCCAGTCCCTACAGGACTACAAAGATGCTCTGAATACTGTGGCAAAATGCCACAGATGCTCTGAATACTGTGTGCCGCTCTTATCACCTCAACCATAGAGCCAATCATCTCATGACAGAAGGCAATCGTGTTGATAGAACTGTGCGGGTTTTCCTGTCTTGACTTGTCTTTCATCATCCCAGAAAAGGCTTACAAAAAGATTTGCTCCATTATCTCCTCTGAGAGAGATGCTAGGTAAGGATGACTGTTCTGTAGTTTCCTGTACTTTGCTTTGATGATAGATGTGACATTTGCTTTTTTTTCCCCGGTAACTGGAAATACCATCTGATTGCCACAGCCTTTCAAAGGTGATAGGAAGCAGCATAATGATATTACTCAGCTTCCTCAGCACCTTTACAAGTACCTTCTGTCCAGTCCTAAGGACTTGCAAACATCTCATTTGCTGGAGTGTCCCCAGTTCAACCTTCCTCTACAGTTAGTAGTAGTCTCCTACTCCAGACTTTGCCAAATAGAGCTCTGTGAGGCCTGAGGGCTGACCTTGCAAAGTAAAGAACACAGGAAAGAGGGCTTTGAGTATGTCAGCCTTTTCACGGTCCTTCATTGCTAGGTCACCTGCCCATTCATCAGCAGAGCCTGTAGTTCTTAGGGTTGCTTGCTTGTAATGAGACTGGTTTGATGGTTTTCTCTGCCTCTCGGTATAGACAGCTGATAGAAATGCTGGCATTGGTGTGAATGGAGTATGAATGGTAATATCTGGGTGTGGGGGCACTGGATGGAGCACACAACAAGGAGAGGGCTCTCAGCATGGACTGTGCTACTGGGATCCAGATTAGCAGGTCATCACCCAGTACTTCTTTGGGCGGTTTCACAAGACACTCCTTTCTGGAGAAAAAGGGCAATGAAGAAACCCTGATGACTCACAGAGGTGGGACAGGATGGGGACACTGATCACTGTCAGCTGATAAAGGCTACCAAGAGGCATATTCAAAATCTGTGCATGGTTGCCAGCCTAAGAAGAACCCAGAAGACATGAGGAGATCTTCACAGCCAGTGTCACTTCCCTCCCACGTAATTGCAATGGATGCTGGACCTAACAGCATCTGGACATAGACATGGCCATGGCCGATGGGCAGCCTGGTCACCACTGCTGTGATGCCCCACGGCTGTACAGGCTCATGGAACCTCATGTCCTGGTCTGCTTTAAATACATCCACCTTCGCAGCAGAACGTCTGGCACTGGCCTGTGCAACACTGTTGATAGAGTGTTGCAACAGTATTTCCCACAAGTGGGTATGTTTATCTTTTGCAGGAAGCAAACTGGTCTCAACATCTAAGAATTCAGCCATTTATGTTATTTTCTGTCATGAATCCTGCTCAGTATTAATGGACTCCTACAGTCTTGGTTGAATTTTTCGAGTGTACTTTGCTGTATGGATAACATGAGAGGCGTTTTTTGAGTCCTGTCCTCCATCCTTCCATTGACCTTTGGAGCAGAAAGCTTTTTTTCTTTTCATTAGTGTGTATTTTACTGCTTTGAGTTGCCATTTCTGTCAGCAACTTTATCATTCACCTAGCCTTAATCACTACATTGATTTATCTGAACAGAAAAAGGGAGAGGAAACAATCTTCAGAGTTGTTTAATGCCCATAGTGCTTTACAATATGTACATTCAGCCATTCCTAAAATAACCCTGAAGCAGGTTTGAATGGTAGAATAAAGGGGGAAAAATGCTTTTGCTGCTGTTTGGTGCCATTTACAATATCTCTAAAGTACAAGCTGTGAATTCTCTGGGTAGATGTGAGAACTCATGAGCAAAAATATAAACCAGGCTGATAATAGAGAAAGAAACCTTGTTGGCAAAACAGAAACAAAGCACAAGCTGAAAAAAAATGATGGAAGGTCACATTACAGAGAGGAAGATTCAGACAATGAAATTTATTTATTAAAAAACAATGCAAATACAAACTGACAAAGTTCAAATTCTGATAAGCGATGACCACCAGATTACGGGTAAATTGTCCAATAAACATTTAAATCTGCAAATTATGTGAAAAGAAGCATTAATTTTGAGCAAGCTTGAGAGTAAAATTCAAATGTTTTCTCTTGATTAGAGAAGTTACTCATATCTGCACCCAAGTTATAAAACTTTCTAGTTCTCAGATTTCATGTACTGATAAAACCTCTGATGAAGGTGGAATTTTATATGCTTTGTATTTGTCAGGATGAGAGGATTGGTTTAGAAACCCCTTCTCAATTGTTTCCGGGTTACTGAAATTTATTTTTTGAGGAGGGAAAGTTGTTAGTTCAAGAGGAAACTTAACCAAGTATTTTAAATAGTCCTGTATTCCAAGCTGTTAATGGACTAAGAAACTATGGGTTATAGATGCTATCGCAGTCCAGTAATGAAACTGGAACGGAGAGGATGGAAGCGAATGAAACATCTTCATTATCTGATGAGAGTATTAGCACTTATGATCTTATCAATGGCCAAGAGTCTGGGTATCTCTCAAATGAGCAAATTGCCTGGTAATAGGCTAAAATGCTGGAAGAAAATGAGAAAGTGTCTTTCAATCAGCAAGAAAGAGCAGTCGTTAAGTGAAAACCAGATCTGCAGAGCTACAAAGAACTTTTTGATTAAGTCTCCTAATTTTAGACATTTTTTTCAATCAACATTGTCACTAGTATTGCAGGAGGGTTCTTTTTCTATAACATTTATGGAGTAAAGACGAATGTAAAAGAAGTCTTGGAGCATACCATGTTCAGCAAAATGTTCATTGCAGCTGAGTCTCCTATTTTCATGGAAGCTTTTTTCAATTTGTTGAATTCTTTATGGGAACAAAGATGCCATTCCAGCTAGAAGATGTTGGCTAGGCAGACTGTGGTTGG